AATATTAGAAATGATCTTTCTTTATTAGACTTAGATGAGAATTTGACTTTTAACCGGACACAATGGCGAAAAAGGATCCATGTAGCCGACCCCACGTAGTGGGACAAAGGATGTTGTTGTTATTGTTGTTAGTTTTGTTTTTGCTAATTTTGTTGTTTCCCAGTGCTAAAGTTTTGACAACATAGTTTAAAATTTTGGCAATTTTTTTTTTTAACTATTCAATATATTTAAACACTAACTTCGAATCGCAGAATTTTAATTATGATTTTCTTTAGTCATTATCCGTATTCATTTGTACAAGAAATTTAAAGGCCTTCATTTTCGTAATCTTCTTTCCTTAATTTTCAATTGTTTTTTTTTTGAAGATTTCTTTACTCCATGAAGCGCATATCTGCCCAGATTATTTTGTTTATTTATTTTTGGTTCAATGCACATCTTTATCATTTTTTTGTCATCGTTGTTTGTTTGTCATTTTCTTGCATTTTTCTTGGCTGAAATTCCTAGCTTTTAGTTGTTCCTTTTAATCATTGTTTTTCTTGGTATACTGTATAGGTAAGTTCTCTTCATTTTTTTAACCTAAAATTCTTGTATATGTTCGCTCTTATTTTTTAATCTCAGCACCTTCTTGTATTTTTATTTAATTTCATATCATATCTATAATGATAAAGCCACTTATCCAGCTGATCATCCTCATCTTTGCAACACTTAGTTTTATGCTTCTCTTTTAATGGACTTAGATGGTTTGGTCACATAAAATGACGGCCTTCCGATGACCCGGTTAGAAAAGTAGAGGTATTAGATTTGATTTTTGTTAAGAAAGGTAGAGGTAAACCTAAAAAGATTTGGTTAGAAAATATTAGAAATGATCTGTGTTTATTAGATTTAAACTAGAATTTGACTTTTAATAGGTCACAATGGAGAAAAAGGATTCATGTAGCCCACCCCACATAGTGGAACAAAGGCTTGTTGTTGTTGTGGCATCACCTCTTATGTATTCTAATATTGTTAGTTGGTGTTTGATATTGACTGTGGTTATTGTTATTATAAGTGGCTGGAAGTTGTGGAGAAATCAAATTTTGAAAGCTGCTTTGGTTTTTTTTTTTTTAAATTGGATAAAAAACTTTCATATAAGTGCCACACAAGCATATTATGTTGTGAAAAGAATTTTCTTCCTTTAAAATTTTTGAAGGGCAACATTGTGATCGTATCTACTTGAGCTATGCTAGCGTGCTGGGATTCCACTCAAGCTTCACCAAATAGGCCTTTCTACCCTTGTTGACATTTTTTCCTACCATTTTGTTATTTTCTTACTAAACGTTAAACAACTTGTTTTATTATCTTCTTAGTTTTCTCTATTCACATTGTGCCTTTTAAAGCTTGGGTTCTTTGCACTTAATTTTAATAATAATGGAAAAATGTTAATAACCTTTTTTATTGGTATAATGGAGCTTATGATTTAAGCCTATCCCAATAGAGGTTTGAAAATGCCTAGGAGATGAGGTAATTTCTTGTCTTATTAATTTTTTTAATATTATTTTGAAGACTAAAAAGATGCTAGATGAGTGGAGATTGAGTGTGTTGATTCTTATTTTTAAGAATAAAGGTGTTGCACAGGATTGTGCAAATTATAGAGGAACTAAGTTAATGTGTCATACATTAAAACTATGGGAGAGAGTTATGGAGCATTGGTTATTACGCGATACTAATGTTTCTAAAATCAATTTGATTCAGGCTGGGTAGGTCTACTATATAAGTTTTATATTTATTATGAGGTTTGATGGAGAACTATAGAGAGAATAAGGAGGATCTACATATAATATTTATTGATTTAGGGAATGCATATGATAAAGTTCTAAGAGCAGTGTTTTGGAGCGTTGTCGAAAAGAAAGGGTTACTAATGCTTATATTCAAGTCATTAAGGATATGCATGCAGGAGTTGTTTCTTGTGTTCAAATAGATGGTTGTTTGACAAAGTATTATTTTTTTTATGTCAATTGGATTTCGTCAAGGATATGCCTTAATCCTATATATTTTTGCTTTAGTCATGGATGTTCTTATTAGACATTTGCAAGAGGATGGACCCTAGCGTATGCTCTTTGCTAATGATATTCTTCTTGTTGATAAGACTTGACTGGGAATTGAAGGTAAAGTTGAATCGTGGAGGTCAACCTTAGAGTCTAAGGTTATCATTTGAGTATATCTAAAACCGAATACATGAAGTATAATTTTAGTCATAATAGATCTAGTGGGGGGATTGAGTTTTTGGGCGATCAAGTTATTATTAAGAGTACTTGTTTTTGATATATTGGGTCTATTGTTTAGAGCGATGGTGAAATAGATGGGTTTATTATTGTAGAATTTAACTTGGATGGTTGAAGTGGAGGAATGCATCGTGCTTTTTGTGTGATAGAAAAGTTCCCCTCAAATTAAAAGGAAAATTCTATAAGATGGTGCTGAGACATGCAATGCTTTATGGCACAGAATGTTGACCTTTAAAAGGAAAATATAATGTTAAGTTAAGTGTTGTAGGGATGTGGATGTTTAGGTGGATTAGTGACTTTATCCCACTACGTGGGGTCAGCTATATGAGTCATTAATCTTCTTTTTTGCCTTATTAAGATTTAAATTCTCATTTAAATCTAATAAAGAATGAACATTTCTAATATTTTCTAACAAGGTATTTTTAGGTCTATCTCTACCTTTCTTAATATTAGCCAAATTTAATACATATATTTTTTAACTGGGTCATCGGAAGGTTGCTGTTTTATGTGACCAAACCATCTAAGGCTACTCTCTAATTTCATTTGCCAGTGGATCTACTATAACCAATTCATGTATGTGCTTGTTTTGTATTATGTCTCTTAAGTATAATTGTCCTAAGCAACACACATGTATAAAATAAATAAATAATTGTAATGATGAATGTGTAAAATTGTGCTAATGTATGAAATTTTCTAGGCTTTTTCCTCTATTTCTTATTTTATTCATGTACACTATTTTATAAAAGTCATATGATGGTTGCTACTAAGGCTTGAAGGTAGGATTTTAAAATTCTAACTTTTTAGAAGAAAGAGTCGTATACCTCTTATTCGGTTCCTACTAAGGCTTACCTTTCAGCTTTTTCTTTTCTTTTCATAGGTTTATCCCCCATAATATTATTTTCCTCAATAACTTCCAAACTCACATAGCAGACGTCATTGACATCATAGGACAGTACACAAAAATATCGTACATGTAAAATAAATTCATAATGAACAAGTTATCATAAAATTGAAATTGTTTTTGTTCCCAAAAATTTCTTATTAGGATTAATTTAAAGAAATGCTACAAAAGTTAGATAAAAAAACTTGTTACTTCCTGTACTTGAGATTAAGTATGTCACCTCGTTTTCTAGGTTAGGAAGATGGATTTTATCCCTTAGATTATCCCGACCTCTTTACATTTTATAGACAACCTAAATTAAGATAGATTTGAAATATATAAATAATTTCTTACTTAGAAATCAATTATGGTAAATCTAAAAAAATAGAATTTTACCTCAAATAAATTTCTCTTCATTCAAACCAATTTTCTTACAGAATTCCTGACCTCCTTCCTGCTATTCTTTCCTTCTCTTTTTTTCCCTTTTCTGTTCTCTGGATTTTGGCCGCTATAGCCCTTTTTCTTCTCTTGGCCTGGTTTAGCTTCGGCTCCAGAGACTGGTTATAGGGGTAATAGAAAGGAAGTAGAAAATGGATTTAAAACTTAAGTAATATATAAGTTATAATATTTAATAGTTAGGAAAATTGATGCAGCCATTTGATTCCAATGCATGTGTTTTTTAGTGGAATTTTTTGTTTTCCACTAATAACTACTATGATTTTAATAAATGAATAGTAAAGAAAAACTAGAGTAAAAATGCAAATCGAAACTAATTCAGTAATTTTCACCTCTTTTCAAATTAATATATATTTCTTTGTATAAATTTGCTTAGTTGGCAAGTAGAAGATAATGGAATAATTTTTTTTCTTTTATAATAGTTGGTATTTTGAGTTCTAATTTCTAAAAAAAATTACAAAATTGGAAAATTTTAGGGCATAATACTTCGTGCCTTAGCGATGAGGTGCGGAGGCATTTAGCACCTCGTTTTGGCATGATTGCATAATCTATTACTTGTGTTTTACGGTGGTGTTATGCTCTGCCATCTTAATCAAACTGTCATTTCTTTGCTTTGTGGCAGCTACAAAGCCTCAGTTACACCTTTCCAGTTGCAGTCTGCGTTGTGTTGTCTGGCATTTATGAAGATGATTTGGACAATTCAGAAGATGTCATTTATACTGGGCAGGGGGGTAATGATTTATTGGGTCGGAGACATCAGATTCAGGATCAGAAGATGGAACGTGGCAACTTGGCTTTAAAGGTTTGTTTCCTCAATTTTATATGATTTATTCTCTACTTAAAATTTTAAAGGTTTTTTATTTGTTCAAAAAAGGTTAGGAGAGATCGGACAGCGAATTTTAATAGCCTACACCCTCATGAATTTGGAAGTGTATTTTTATTTTTTCCTGGCATGGATGCATTTCATAATCAGTAACCTTCTATTGTCTATTGCTTCATTGACTCTAATTTCATAATATATAATAATATACTCTATTGTGCTGTTGAACTGTTTATGTTCCTGCATTATACTATTTTGCTGATCTGTTCGATAAATTTTCTGATGTACTTTTTTTTTTCTCTGCAGAATAGTATGATATGTACTGTTCCTGTAAGAGTTATTCGTGGGCATGAATCGACTAACAGTTACTGTGGGAAAGTTTATACCTATGATGGGTTATACAAGGTAAGTATTAAGTCGAATTACTTTGTTCTCCGTGCATAAGTCATACATTCTTTTATGCATTCAGTGTGTCGCTTAGTCTTAGTAAGTGATGATCACCTTTTGCTTTGATGTATTCTTTTCCAGTTCCTTGTTAAACGATAAAAATGTACAGCTTCTGGAAAGCTTCTTATCGGTTTCTTTTAAGTGCAAACTCTTATGACTAACTATGCCTGTCATGCATGCGCAAAAGTTTCCTGTTTATTCTTGTTAAAAGGCTCTAAGGTTTCTTGGTAATGCGTCAGATTTTTTTTTTTTTGGAAGATAAGAAACATACCACTATTATTTAAGGGTGTTGTAAATGAGCGAAGCTTAACTGTGTGCTTGTGTTTGAGTCAGTCTAGTTTTTTTTTAAGTGGCCTCATGTGAGAATTTTTATGTGAATGATGTTTTCTTGTTCGGTTTATTTTAATTGTGATATGCTTGTAACTTAGATTTGTTTGGATTACGGGAAATCTTAATTTAAAATCTTTTTTAAAAGCTTGAAGTTGTTATTTTGAGTAAGCTACTAGATTTAAAAAGTTGTATATTTTTATTACTCGAGATATATGATTTCAATATATATATATATATATATATATACACACACACGTGCACACTTATTTTTCTTTTATCAGCGGGGTTGTGCCAGGCCCTAATTGACCTTTAGATTTATTAGAGTGCTTAATCGAATATTTTTGGGCTCTTTGTTTACTTTGTCATTCTATGCAAATTGATATTGGGGATTGATTTCTTGTTGCTGTAGTCTTGAAGTGTTCATTTGTTGCTGGAACATTTTAAAATTTGTAAATTTTGCTCTGTGGTTTTAGTTAAATTTTTGGAGGCATTTTTTGTTTTATTTTTTTGGTTTCTTATGAACTTGGGCACTATTGTAGAGTGATATTTGATGAATTTTTCTTTGCAACTTGAGTGCTTTGTTTTGATAGTATGTCACTTCAGTAGTAATATGTATATCATGACGGTATTTTAATGGTTGCTTTTGATTGCTTTATTTATTCTGCTTGCTTCCTTCCAGTGGATTGTAGTTTTGTGTTTTCTTGGATTTTGTTTGTATTCTATACATCATCAACTTATGATATTTGCGATATGAACCCAAAAAATTGTTTTTTTTTGTGAAGGTCTAGATGGCCTTTTGCAAATGAAAGACAAATAACTTAGTAAATTTTTTTTGTGGATATTTAATTCGTTTTGCTCGATGGTGTTTTGCTTACTTGATCAAATTGGGAGTTAGTAAATTTCAAAGTTTCTTTTTATTGAAATGTTTATGATTTGTTATTTAATTATTTTTGACGGGTATAAGTTTGTGAGATTTTTTTTTTTCAAAATAAGTGGATAATGTTGATATTGGTCTTGCTAATTGTTTATTTTAAATGCAGACATCCGACCTGCATATAACAATAAGAAATTGAGAATTTTTTTTTGTACGTTTGGAATGATTGTATAACATGTTAATGATTTTAAATTGGATATTGATTTTTTTTTACTGTTAGAATGATTGCTGGTGTTTTGTGGATTGTTGCATTCTTCTCCTGTATGGTTAATTAGAATTTTTTGGTTTTGAGTCCCTGAATAGGAGTAGAATTTCTTGCTTTTGGGTAAAGTAAAGATACTGTATGAATGACACCGGCCAGGTAGGGGCTCGACGAATCCACGTCGAGGATCCGGTGACGGGACCAAGAACTCCTTGGGGGAGAGGGATCACCACCTGAAATTCAGGATACAGAAACCCAAAAACAGAGTAAAAATTACTCAAATATTATTCATCTCAAATCTATCTATTACATGACATTGGCTACCTATTTATAGCCCAAAAGAAGGAACATACTAGGCTACACAAAACAAAAGAAAGCATTTCACCTCTATAGCCCTATAACTACTAAATGGACTTAATATAGCCTGAAGTTTAATACAATTGACGTCTCAGCTCCGGCGTCAATGAATTGAATGTACCATAATGTTTACCGAAGGGCCGGCTGACTTCTTGGTTGTTGAATGCTTCATTAGATAAAACTCTGGAGTCTTAGGTAACTCCAACAAAAGGCCCATGACAGAGAATAACATTCATAAGAATGCAGTCTTTTTTTGGATACTTTTAGATTCATTTAAATAGGAGGGGCACAAATATTATGTTTTAAATATCATTCCTAAGAAACGTCTCTAGATTTTTTTAACCCCCATGTATTGAATATCATTGTCACATGAGAGATCCTTTTGTGTTTATGGGATTTTTACTATGTTTGATGATCTAATTATTTCTTTTTAAGATTTTAGGTTTTGAAAATTTTCTAAGGTTAATTTTAATAATTTCACTCATTATAGGACATTTGAAAGTCTATTAAAATCTTTCAAGAATTTTATGTGTTGTTAATACAAATACGGAAATTCCTAGTGAATGCAAGGCTCTTAGAAGTTGTATTTTTGTTGTACTAATTTTTTTAAATAGTCGTTATTGTCACCCTTTTGAAGCCCTGCACATTCTTTTTGATGGAAAATTAAAATTTTGCCCTTTTGGTTTTACTTTTCATAATCTCTTATTCATTCCCAATCCTGTTCTTTGGAATCAAGTTTTTGATAATTTTTGCCTTTATGCTTTTACAACTTGTTGCTTTTGCACTTTTTGTTTTTGTAGGTTGTAAAATATTGGGCAGAAAAAGGTGTTTCTGGGTTCACAGTTTTTAAGTACCGTCTGTGTCGGCTTGAAGGGCAACCGACTCTTACTACTAATCAGGTTTCTGCACTTATGCTTCCTATGCTTTTTGCTATCTTCAGCGGCAAGATGTTTTCCTTGTTATATGTGCACAAATATTTATTTGTTTATTTATTTTTATTTTTTCCTCGTATGATGGACATCAGTCCTTTTCTAGGCAAGAATTCATCCTCATTGCTGTAAGAATTAGGAATTATATTGAAGTCCCTACCCATGGCGTTAGGGTTTTTTTAATGTGGGGTTGTAGGATGATATGAGTAGCTTTAATCCTAGACTATTTTAAATAGTTATCTATTTACAAGTGTTGATTATATAATAAATTTCCTAAGTGGTAATATTCATTGTTCGTGAAGTCATGTTAATTCATAGTTGTTTGTGGATTGGTTATCCTTTTGCCATTTAATTGCTATAGTGGCCAAGTTTATTCAATAACAATCCGCTGAGGATTTTTTCATGTCTTTAGTAAGGACTATTTGTAATCTAAATTGATTGATGGTGACTGTTCATTGGATGGTTTGTTGCTTGGTGAGGATTGTGGATGTATAACTTATTTTTTTCCTTTCCTTGCAAGCTTGTATTAACTTTTTAAGTGGGTTTGGGTCAAGGCTTTACTGTTAATTTTTTTCGTTGTAGAATCATAAAACTCAATGGTCTATATAATTTTAATAATACATATTGTTGACATTTAGTTTGATGACCTAATGTTTTGCTATTTAGTTTATTTGTGAATATACTTTGAGTGGTTAAGAACATGAAAATTTTGATGCAGGCAAACTAGAAAGAAAGAGCCAATAGAGGAGAACGCTAGGACAACTAAAACAAAACTCAATTCAATCTAGAAAGCTGACATCCAAACAAAACATAAAAAAATCCAAAGTCGAACAAACGAAACAAAATTTAAAAATAAAAACACTATCCTCAGAACAACCAGCAAGCGGTTTCCTCACATGCAACGAAAAGTGGGTAAAATAAGATAAGTGATTAGGGGTTCCAAAAGCTCCAACGTCCAACCAAACTCCTCCAGTAAATGTCACCAAATCAGCCAACAAACACATTCCAAAAGCTCAAGAAGAATGATACAAGTGGAGTGGAACTTGCGGAGAGAAGAAGAGGTTAGAAGCCCAAGACGAAATAGAGAGGAGGAAGAGAGAATTTGAACAAGCTCTCAAGCTTTCCAAGAAAGGAGAAGAAACCCTCAGATTTTTAGAGACTTTTCTCAAGATAATGAACAACCTTTTCATGACAAATACATCTCTAATTTATAAGATAAAAAGGTGCAGCCAAACATCCAATTCCACTTCCAACTGAACCAATCAGGTAAGGGGAAGAGGAATACCAACAGGCAACACAGGAACCGGGTAAAGCAGCCACGAGACAGCAGCCATGGAAGAAATCGAAAAGGCAGCACATGGGACCGAAACGAGCACCCAACAATGGGAGAAGAACCAGCCACGAGAAACAACACCAGAATGAAATTGAGGGGGAACAAAAAAGGGGAAGAGAAAAGTTCCAACTCTACTTAATGAGCTAACAAGAAGAATATCTTTTCATGTTAATGAGCTAAACTTTTAGCTCAAGCATTTATGAGCTGGAACCAAGAAGCTCCCAAAGAACACAGCCCAAACCCTAGAAACTAAGGTTCAACCCGAGAAGCAATAACAGCTCAAAAGACCAAAGAACCAAAGAAGCTAGCACACCCAAGGTTTGCCATGCCCAAGCACTACCTACTCATAATCATTGGATGTTTTCCATCATTGGATATCATAAAAAAACTAAACGAAAATTATAACATTCAAATTACAATTACAACAACAACAACAACAACAACAACAACAACAACATCAAGCCTTTATCCCACTACGTGGGGTCAACTGCATGAATCCTTTTTCTCCATTGTGTTTTATTAAAAGTCAAATTCTCGTTAAAATCTAATAAAGAAAGGTCATTCCTAATATTTTCTATTCAAGTCTTTTTAGGTCTACCCCTGCCTTTTTTAACACAAGTCAAATTTAATATCTCTACTCTCCTAACCGGGTCATCAGAAGATCGCCTTTTTATGTGACCAAACCATCTAAGGCGACTCTCTCTAATCTTATCTTCTACTGGACAAACTTCCACTATAAAATGAGTAAGAGCAGAAAATCTAGAGCCAATAACTCCAAATACATTGGGTGACCATATCGAATTTTATGTATCATCAAGCTCATAAAAGGACTTGGAAATTTGATGCATACAAATTACTGTTTATTTTTGTTTTTTAAATTGTTATTTGAATGTTAACATTGCCGTTGCCAGGTCCCAAGTCCTAGATGAGAAAAGTGGAGGGTTGCGTTAAGTAGTCGATAGCCTGCGTAAAACTTGTCGAACAATAATGACATGAATCTTTTAAGAAATTATGTTAATGCTAGGGTGTCCCCTGGAAGCGACGCGCTGTATGACCTGAATACAGTGACAAATGTGCAAAGGTCGCTGCACCGGCGCCCGGGTGCAGTGTTAAATAAGCAAGGGTTCCCACATCAAAGACGGATGTGGGCAAAGAAGCTAGTCCATGAAATTAAAATTAGGATAGGAACTTGGAATATAGGTTCCCTTATAAGAAAATTAATGTAATTAATAGATATTATGATTCATAGGAAGTTAAATATTTTGTGCATTCAGGAAACTAAGTGGGTTGGGGAGAAGGCTAAGGAAATTGATAGTTTAGGATTTAAACTTTGGTATTTGGGTAGGAGTCGTACTAGAAATGGTGTAGGTGTTATTATAGATAAGAGTTTAAAGGATAATGCTATAAAAATTAATAGGATTGGAGATAGAATTATAGCTTTAAAGATTGTTATTGATGATAAGATTGTTAATATTATAAGTGCTTATGCTCTTCAAGTAGGTTTGTATATGAGTTCTAAATTAAATTTTTGGAATGACTTAGAAAAATTAATACAAAAGATACCTCTTGAAGAAAGAGTTTTTATTGGAGAAGATTTAAATGAACATGTTAGTAGAGAGGTAGATGATTTTAAAAGCATTCATGGTGGCCATTAATTTGGAACGACGAATGAAGGTTGCAAGACCATTTTAAATTTTTGTTTAGCTTATGATTTTTCAATTGCTAATACGTTATTTAAGAAAAGGAATGAGCATCTCATCACTTATAAAAATGGATATAGTACAACCCAGATTGATTATTTTCTTATTAGAAAATTAAATCGTTTAGATTGCAAAGATTGTAAAGTTATTCCGAGTGAAAATTTATGTACCCAACATCGATTATTAGTTTTGGACTTTAAGATAAAGGGGCATAAAATAAAAAATAAAGTAAAACAATTTTCTAGGATTAGATGGGGGCATTTAAAGAATATTAACAAAATTATTTTTGGAAATAAGATTTTAGATCTTAAGATTTTGTCTATGCATGAGGATGCTAATATTATGTGGGAAAAAGTGGCTAGTGATATTAAGAATATTGCAAAAGATGTCCTTGGAGTATCAAAGGGAAAAGCTCCTAATAGTAAAAATAGTTGGTGGTGGAATCCAAATGTGCAAGAAAAGATTAAAAATAAGAAGTTT